CGTATGAAAAATCGCCATTTTTCACGTTTACATGCTTGGCCCACAAATGTCGGACTAGCAAATCAACAGAATGGTAGGTCCGGTGGACCTCAAATTAGGGATTCCAGGACAACTTTCGACGCTCTTTCGAATGGGATAGTCAAAAGCGACATGAAAAAAAATTCGGCAACGTGCTTGGTCAGTGGTTTTATGGACTCTCTCTTAATCTTTGCGCGCGAGTGAAAGAGAGGTGAAGTCTTTGAACGATCGATGTTGTCGAAGAGCAGTGATTCGTTGCGAGAGGCTTGTGGAGTGCCATTCTTTGGAATAGAAGGACGAAGGCGAGACGTAGAGAGGGAACATGAAGATTTGAGGAATATAGGTTAGAAAATAGAAGTTGATTAGAAGATATCTCAAAGAATTGTCTTCGAGATTTTGACAGCCTAAAGAAAAAGAAATGATGAACAAGGGCAAAGAGAAGAGAGAGAAGATCGAGGGAACGAGTGTCATCGCCGGTCGAGTGATCATCTCTCGATTTTCATTGAACACAGCTCGAAAGACACGTCGACGATCACGGCTTCGTTGTCGGTCACTAAAGAAAGGATCAACAAATCATCGGCTGTCGAATCCTTAAAAAAAGTGAATTGACCTTTCTTCGTCAGACGAATGTTCATCTTGTTCTTGATGACAATGCTCATGATCGTCAATGTGGAACAGAGATTGATCAACAAGGGAAAGAGAAAGTGACAAACGGAAACCAGCTGATGGATGAAGATCCACAACGATTGACCATGGATACTCGATGACACACATCGCACTGTTGACATTCTCAATACCGATGAACGACTTGACGAAGACGAGTTCATAAGCAGCAGAAAGAAGAATCCAACCGATGACGAGTAATATCAGAGAACGAGCGACACGCGGTTGTTTGAACCAATGTTTGTTGAAGAACACCGTCGTGTAAAGACGTTCGAGGGCAACGAGCGAAGGTAGCCAAGAACTCAGACGCGTCGAACAGATCAAAAGATAATTGAGAAGTTTACAGAAGAGATCATCGATCCATGGAGATAAAGATCGAGAGATGAAATGATCACACTTAGATGAAGGAGACGAGCAGTGAGAAAAGCCAAAGTCAATTGATTGACGACACTCAACCAAAGGAGATAATGACCAACACCTTGATGAAGACAAGAACGACGACGAAGAGTGACGAACGAGAAGAGATTGTTTGGCAGGGCGAGGATCAAAACAAGAAGAGACAAGACGAGGAGAAGGGAAAACGTCGTTTCTCGTCGAGCAGAGAGAAGATCGGACGAAAAGAGTTGATCGAGGGTGAAGGAAAAGGATTTGGTGTTGAATTGACATTGACGACCGGAAGAACACGAAGGACAAAGACAGACGAAGTCCGTCAATCGATGAGGATTGCCTTGCAAACAACGACCCTTGGAGAGACAATGAGAACAGCGATCGAGATGATCATCGTAATTGAAACATTCGACTCGCGAGTGATTCTCTCCACAGATACAAAGATAGAGATCATCGCGGAAACACAGGCGAGTTCGATCAGCAATGCAGATCTGATGATATCGAATCGGAGATGAATCTACAGATCAGAAGGAAACCAATGCAAGGCTCGCAAAGAAGATCGAAAGAAGTGAAGAATTACCGTTGGAGAAGATTCGAAGGTGTGGACATTGATTGAGCGAGGAGATTTCTGTTGTGGCAGCAAAAGAGAAGAGGTTCAGATGGACGGAGAGAAGATAAAGAGCCGGCAGCGAGTCTTCATCAGACGAATAGAGTTTGGCTAAGACGATGTCGGGAATCGATGTTTGCAGATCAGAATGGAAATATTTCACGTGTTGAGAAAGTGTTTCAAAGACTTGTTGATCAAGAAGATCGAGATGAAGAGAGATCACATTGATGCGAAGGTACTGTATCACTGCACCTCGATGCTGAGGAGTGCTCGAAAGAAAGAAATCAATCGAAGGTCGTCTCCGTTGACATTGAGCTCCAGAATATTCTTTCGTACAAATACAAATCACTCGATCAGGTTGGACATCGGGAAGACAAGAGCCACCATGAAGACAAGGATGGGAAAGACATCGATCGTGTTCAAGCGAACATCGATCTCCGTATCGATTCAAAGGACACAAACAGAAGGGCAATGACGAATCTCCTCTGATCGAACCTCGAGAGTTGGATTGACACAGAGATCCCGAGGAACAATAACTTTTAGCACATCGGGAATCTTCGAGGGAATAATTCTCTCCCATGAAACTTGTCCGACAAAGACAAATATATTCAGATTGATTGTTCATCAGTGGTTGACATTGTTCATTCCGATGACAAGGTTGGGAAGAACAAGGATTCTTCTGGTGAAGAGATGAAGTGAAACGAAGAACTTTGGCCAGGCGATAGACGGGGAGGTGATCGAAGCCGACTGGATATTTCCACACTGCAGCCAATGATGGTGTTTCGTCACGGCGTGTTTGATAAAGTTCCATTCGAATGAAATAAGGGCGAAAAGTGAGAAGTTCTGAACGATTGAAGAATCGTTCTCGCCGTTTCTCATGTGAAGAGGAGGAATGAGAATAAACGAAATGAGTGATCATCTTCGATGTTCGCGACTCCGACAAAGGATGAAAATGAAATTGATCTCGCATCAGAACTTCGTCGTTGAACAAGAAAAGAACGACGAGTTTGAGAAAAATCCGAGAATCACTTGTCGAGAAAGAAATCGATTGAGAAAGATTCAAATGGAGAAGAACTGACAATCGATCGGCATGGTATTGACATTTCTCCCCATAGAACTGTGAAGGACAAAAACAAACAAGCGAATCATTCGTCATCGTCGACAGAACACCGAGACCCCGATTACACCCATAGGCCGACAAGGATGAGGAGGAGAGATTCCAGATGACATTTGTTACTGGAGGCACTACGGAGATCGAGTTGGAGTCTAACTGTGTGATGTTTGCATCTTGAGGGTGTTGAGACAAGCGAACGATGTGTTGTTTAGTTCTTAGAGACGATTGCTTTTCTTCGCGAGAAGGGAGGAAATCAATTCCCAAGAGAAAACGGGAATAATGACACATATATTCATCTTCACCGAACTGACAATCGAATTCTTCATCGCAACGACGATCCGGAACACGCCGACCACCAAAACAAGTGAAATCTGTGGGATCGGAAGAATTCGAGAGCGTCTCTTGCAAAGAACACCAATGTTCGTCATCAGATCGACGAGGACATCGATGGTTGATGAAACAATGAAGACGATAAGGAATACAAGTGTTCGTCGATGGACAGAGAAAATTCAGTCCAAGCATCGACGACGATTGAGAACAGGATTGGAGAGTATTCTGTTCATCGAATGCTCCGGCACAATCGATGTGACCATCACCGATCTGGCTGAGATTGAAACAGGAAAATCCTTGTCGTGTTGCTCGAAGAGAAAGACAGAGAAATGGATGCGATTGAGGACAATTGGAAGGAATGAAGTAAGATCGATTGGTAAAATTATTGTGAGATGCTTCGTCTAGTGCTCTGCAAGTGAGGGACGCCAATCGGTCCTGTTCGTCCGAAGCATCTGCACAGTCCCATTGATAATCATTGAACCAACGGCGTTCAATACATTGACCATTTTGACATGGTTCTTGGTCTTCAGCACAAATCTACCAGTGTCGACATTTGAGAAGATTTTCATCTTCTTCCGGATGAAGATCCCAAAATGTGTCACAATACGAACGAAAAGTAATTCGTTGTCCTGAGCTTATTTCGCTTTTGTTCATCGACGCTGATCTCCAGGATTCGTCGATGTATTGACGAAAAAAAGAACATTTATCGTTCGTTCGATCGTTACAGTTCATCGAGGAGAATTCGCGACCATTTTCAAACCACAATTCATCAAACCTATTTAAACAATCTGTTTTTTTATCTCCGATTTTCATCACACTGAGACATGTGGGTTCTTCAACTGAACAACGAAAACGATCCCGTCGAACTCCGGCACAACTCTTCTCGATCTCCATCGATGTCCGTTCGCGTTCATCTTCCAAATTGAGACAATTCCACCATCCATCTCTGATTCGAGTGATTGACATGCACGGATTCCATTCTTCACATCGATCGGTCGATTCATTCGCTCGATGACATTCTCGATGGGGCTGAACCAACTCCGACCAAGAACTAGTTTCCACTGGTTGACAAAAATAGTCTTCCATCAATCGACGGACATTCAGATCTGCCTCGAATGGAATGATCTCGTCTATTACAGTGATGAACGAATCTCCACATCGAATTGTTCCATTGATCAGGACGAAATAGGGCAGATTGTTTCTCCTATTCTTTGTGTACTTGAAGAGAAAGAACAGAAATGGAGCGACGATTGCTCGTTGTGGGTATCGGATCAATGTTGAAGGACAGACTTTTCTCAGTTTCTCGACACATCCAGGACCATCACAGCGGTGACAATCTTTCTCTGCATCCTCCGATAACGAACATTTGAGAAGATATTCACATTGCTCTACCTCACTATGATTCGCTGCTGAAGATTCTTCACATCTTTCATTACCCTCGTCGGGATCATAGCATCGTCCATTCGACATTGTCCACAGTTTCTTCTCCGCATGCGTTTCACAGATGAAATATTGATCGCGTCCACTCTGACAAGTTAGGAATTCATAATCATGAAAGGCCAATCGATCTCTGATGCATTGCCCATCTCCACACGACCACTCGTTCGGTGGACAAAGATGATCGTCACATTCTTCGCTGACACTCTCCAAGGAACATTTCCCACTTGACTTGAAGGGCATTTCATCCGACCAGTCGAGACAATCGAATTCTCCATCGAGAAAGAACTGATCGAGAATGCACATTCCATTCATACATCGATATTCTTCCTCTTCATCGCATTGATTCATCTCCAACAGATCACAATTCTCTTCATCTTTCCCTTCGAGACAATGTTGAAATCCATCACAGATCTCTCGCCAATCCAAACACAACACACCCGAATCACACTGCAATGTCTCAGAACATATCACATCACCATGGATCTGCACTTTTCTGGGATTTTTCATACGCATGATCAGTTGCCATTCGAGTGTCTCTTCAACTGACTCTCCAATGGGTAATCGATATTCGCAGTTCTTGCCAAACGATCCTTGATGAAAACATTCACAGAGAAATCCATCGGATTGAGAAGAATCTCTCAGATATCGCGAATAGTCTTCGACTCGTTCGAGACTGGATCTCCAATGATGCAGGATAGTACTGAGAGAGATATTCTTCGTACGAAGTTCACTGAACCGATGTAATCGTCCACCATTCTGTTCGCATCCGTTCGTGTCACTGTCTCGAGTGACATCGATCGGTTCTCTTGGACGAAGACAATAGACGAGCGATGATTGAACGCGAAGACAATCATACGATTCAATGTCGAACACATCATTGGTGTTGTGAAGATAGAGTTCACTGTTCACCCGCCACAAACCGAAGAGAAATACACTTACTAGAAGTTCGACTATCATCTTCTGTGTGCAGTGAGAGTGATACTTTGTTGGTGACACCAAGACGAAGATCGTGACGATGATCAGTGAGAATGGGTATTGATCAATGGAGGCATGATAAGGCAATGGTCTCTGCGAAAACACGTTGATCAAATGTTTCTTTTTCCATTGTCGACGAAGATCAAACATCCGAGAAGATTCTGCTCTTCTCACGTCTGTTGATTTGTTCGTCACTTTGCAACAGAAGGAGATTCTCTTCGAGGGTGAGGGTTGACTTTTTCAGCAGATCACAAAAGATCTCTCCTTTGCTCATAATCAGAATCCAATCTCTTCAAGTGCTTCTCAAGCATTGTTGTAAGTTTCTGTCCGAATTCGATGTCATCCGAATTTTTTCCAGGCAGAAACATCAAATGGAAAGACTTAATGACGACGAAGATGTCATCGTTGTCGCCGAATCCATTGCGCAGTTGTGTCGAGATCGGGGAGACGAAGAAGCCGACATTTGTCTCTGAACTTTCTTCTCGATCTTTCGAACAAACTAAGTGAAGATCTCCTCAATGAATAGTATCGAGATCTTTCCAACGCTTTCGGTTCTTCTCTCTCACTCGTCGATCGACACATTTTTCGAGGGTCGACGAGAGAATGGTTGTTATTTTCATCTCTGTCGTCAAGTGATCCCTTTTCTCCCCTTCCAATTCTCTATTTGTGATCACGCGAAGGAGAAATCTCATTCCATTCGAGTGACTGATTCTCGTTGATCATCGAAGGTCTCTGTTGAACGAAAGGCCCAGTGAAAAAATTTGCGATTATAATCGATTAATATCAAGAAATCCCACAGATCAAATCGGATTGACAATCCGATTAAAATGAAACAAAATCCTGATTAAAATCAGATTAAACTCAGATTTTATTTTGATTATAATCTCCAAAAGATCAATCTCAGATGATTGACCATAGATTTGAAGGAGATTTGTCTTTTGATTCACACGAAACCACATAAGATTTCAGTCCTGTTCTAATCAGAGTAGCAACTTCTTATGATCTCTTCTCCATCTGTTTCGGCTGACCTTTCGTTCTGATTATTACGAAGAATATTCAGGTTGTCTCCCAGATTTGATCGCAATTCTTCTGCATTGAAATTTCTTCCTCAGCTTCTGCCTCTTTGGACGAGCGTCGAGTCGCATCCAAACTACTCTCTATGGTGAAGAAGCGGAAATTTATTGAGCTCAGGCCTTTCCTTGTCGTTCAGTGCGTCCCCAATCAAAGGAGGTGATTACACTATCCTTAAATAACACTGATTTCAATTGCTGGTTTATAGTGAAATGGAAAAAGACGAAGAAAGATTTCTATCTAACATGATTGTAGACTGTAGAAAAAAACCGCAGTTTAATCAGCCTTTAAGACGTTTATGAAAATGCAACGTCTCACGAACCCTTTTTTCGTTTATGAACACCCAACAACCTTTTCAAATACCCTTTATCCAAGAGAAATGCACGAGCTAAAAAATTCCAACTACCCATTTTCAAGGGTTGACGAAAGAGTTCATGAAAACAAGATACCCTTTAAGGGTTCGCGATACGTTGCATTTTCATAAACCCACCATATAAGGGTTCATGGTTTTTATGGAACAATTCGAAGGCGCTCCTAAGTTTTCTTGATACTAAGTAACTTACTTATCTAACTAACTAACTAACTATCCACCTAACTTATCATCTATCTACCTCACTTACTAGCTAATGAATTTATCTTCCTATCTTAATAATCTTCCATAATATTTTCATTACAAAACTAGTAATCAATGGCTCACTTTTTCATTTTCTAAATTCATCATTTTAACCACATCGAAGAAACAGATCGAAAGTTTTCGAATGCTACAGATATCATGTTCACAACCATTCGCTTCGTAGATGATATCGTAACGCAGTCTGAAACAGAAAGAGAAAAATTCAATATTAGAAACAAGTTGGTACTTGATGGTTCCGAGAGGTAATATTGCCATTATTGATGCATAATAACTTAAACGGACATCTCTCATATCGTTCCATACTGATTACTCGTTTGAGTTTGACACAAGTCTTGTAATCTGAATCTGAAAAAGATAGCAGAAAGCTTCATTCAGTACATCGTGATACTCACTGATTGGAAACTTCAAATGTTGTTTCGCGTCCAATATACAGCAAAACATTGTTGAATTGGGTCATGGCTATTAAAAATTCCTCATACATAGCGATACTGGAAAAACATAGAGGGCAAGATTCATCTTGAAGAGCTATAGAATTTCGAGAGAACAATATAACAATTTTACTGCATTTTAAAAAATGACTTGCATTGAACGATTGACAAGTAAAGAGCATTATCGGACTGATCCAAAGATCACAACATCCGCTTGCGCTGCAAAGGATCTAGTAAAGAAAAACAAGCAGAGCTTTGGTAAAGAGATAAATCCGAAGCTGCTTACGTCGGGTCTGTTGAAAGCAATGTACAATGAATGATCGATTGAGTTCTACGCTTGATTGTCGCATTGTTCTGGATGACACTGATTCTTCATGTGAGAAGAAACTCTTTCATTCTTCACTGTACAATATAGCATTGCATTCGTAGAACAAAAAACCCTTCCGATGAAATCGAATAGTAATAAACCCATCTGAGTCTATCGTCTAACAATCTACCCTAGTTGAAAGATAACTAAACCTAAATGAAGGACATAGTAGATCATCTATTCTCAGAAGTAGAATACTAAACGTATCTCACATTGACGTAGAATAAAATATCATTACTCGTAGAATAGAAAACCTTCATTCCAGAAATGGCGAAGGATGAGTATTTGAGAGTTTATCTTATTCCCTTTTATTTCTCGTCTACCCTCACTGTCATATACGGATTGTATAAGAAACTGTTTGTGGGTTTATGTCTACATGATGAACGCTTCGAGAGTTGATAAAAGCCTTTAGGAAAAAATATCGTAGATTGCTCAACTTATTTTTTTTTCAGTGTATACAATACATGTTTACAATCGAACATGTATCGTTGGATAGATTGGGGAATACAGTTCCTTTTCGTGTGATCGATGGGATACTGTTTCTCTGTAAATGCGGGCATCTTCTACAACTAAAAACACTTTCCTTTTGTTTAACTCTTCACTTTCAATTAAATAAATGAAAAAAAAGGGTTACAATTTCTTTTTAATAATTTCAATACTCTCTCGAACAATTTGAATACTATGATGATCAGCAGGTAGTGAACGTTGTTTGATGTCTAAATCGCATTCATAATACGAAAGTGCTTTCGAGTACTCTCCCATATTGTAATACACCAAACCAATGTTATTGTAAAAAGTAGCCAAATAAGAAAGATTTTGGAGGAGAGTTTTTTTAAAGAGTTCAAGTGCTTTTTCAGAGGGCGGTAGAAACTTTCATGTTATACCTAATCCAGAAAAGCTAGAGAGTCTACAGGGGCT